GCCCGGCCGTCCCCTGCAGGTCCGGGAGTCCCGGGGCCGCCCCGCCCCCACCACCTTCCTGCCGTCCTGGAGTTCCACGCCAACGCGGGTGCCCTCTCGTGCCCACGCCCTGCACGCCCCTCAGAGCCCCATCCCGAGGCAAAAGGGTTCTCACATCGGGGTTGTCACAGCCAATCATCTCTCCATAGGAGACCTGGTGACAAAGGCAATAGGTGGGTTCGTTGGGATCCACAGGCATATCCAACACATCAGAGGGGTGGACACTGCCAAAGGTCACTGAGGGCATCCCATACTCAGGACTTCTGCATGCCAAGAGGAGAGAAAGCGTCAGCGGCCGGAAGGGGCCCCCGACCTGCTCTCGGAGCCGGGACAAGGCCTGGGCTCCTCCTGTCTGTCCAGCAGACACCACGATAGCGAGGAGCGGCTGCTGGCCCAGAAGATGCCGAAGTGGCCAAAGCAGGGCGGGGTGGGAGGAGGGCGCCGGGCGGGCGGGTGTGTCCTTGGACAAGGGGCTCCCTGATCCACTCACGTGCGCACAAGCTTTAACTTCTTCTGGGCAGCCTTGGGGGCTTCTTCATCGGAGTTTTTCCCTTTGGAACGAGCACGAGCAGCTTTCTTCTCCTTTTGGGTCCGGCCTTCCAGGAGGAGGGCGAATGCCAGAAGGCGGGGGAGGAGAAAGGGGGGTCAAGTCCTCTTTCCTCCCGGCTTACCAACCCTGGGCAGCCCACAGGTGAAGAGCCTGCTTCTTCCTCCCCTCAATCCTGGCCCTACACCTCAGAGCCCCGCCCCCCTCCTCACTCTTTTTGCCTTTGCTGGAAGAGCTGTCATAGTCACTTGACTCAATCTGCTTCTCCTTCAGATCAGCCTCAAAACGGGCCAGGTCTGTGTCCAGTCGCCGAATGTGCTTGTCCACCTAGGCGGAAAGGAAGGAGAGGGAGAGGCGCGGGTTGGCTCCAACAAAAGAACACAGGCGCAGGCAGATTCTACGCTCTCCCAGACGCAAGAGAGATCCCCACGAGGCTGCAGGAGGAGTCTGAGACTGAGGACGAGGTAGGAGGCAGACAGGGAGCCATGACGGAGCCATACCATCTCATAGGTCTGCATGGCGAGCTGCACCTTGTCGTCCCCAAACTCCTTGCACTTGCCATAGGCTTCCTGGATCTGCTTGAGCAGGGCCAGTTTTTCCTCAGAGCTGAGGTTGCGGGCGCTGCTCATATACTCAGTGGCCAACTTGTCAATTTCAGCCTTCAGGTCTGCAACAGAGACAGAGACCTGGTCACAGTGGCCCGAGTGGCTAGGGAAACACACTTGTTCCTCTGGCTCCTTGCACCTTGTCCACTGACCGCCATAGCTTTCATACTAAATTGTGTTGGACATTCATAGGCACTGCCCCACGTACTCAGGTAATGCAACATATTGACAATGTTTGTTTTCTTTTTTTGAGGTGGAGTCTCACTCTGTCGCCCAGACTGGAGTGCAGTGGCCGCTCCCGGCCACCGCGGCCTCGGCCTGCTGGGCTCTGGCGATCCTTCCGCCTCAGCCTTCCGAGTAGCCGGAATTATAGGCGCGCGCTACCACGACCGGCTAATTTTTTTGATTTATTGTAGAGATGAGGTCTCGCCAAGTTGCCAGGCAGGTCTCAAACCTGTGGGCTCAGGCAATCCACTCACCTCAGCCTCCCAAGGTGTGGGATTACTGGCTGAGCCACCGAGCCCGGCAACAATGTTTGATTTATTTTATTTTATTTTATTTATTTGAGTTGGAGCCTCACTCCGTTACCCAGACTGGAGTGCAGTGGCCGCTCCCGGTCACCGCAGCCTCGACCTGCCGGGCTCCGGTGATCCTTCCGGGCCCTTGCAATCCTTCCGGGCCCTGGCAATCCTTCCGCCTCAGCCTTCCAAGTAGCCAGAACTACAGGTGCACGCTACCACGACCAACTAATTTTTTTGATTTGTTGTAGAGATGAGGTCTCGCCAAGTTGCCCAGGCGGGTCTTGAACCCGCAGGCTCAGGCAATCCACTCACCTCAGCCTCTCAAGGCACAGAATTACAGGCTGAGCCACCAAGACCGGCAATGTTTGCTTTAAAGGTGCCTTCAAAGTGTTGAAAACATTGCTATCAGAGTTGGAGCTTAAATGATTGAAACCCAAGGATGGCTCCTTTGTAAACTACACTTAATATGGAAGGGTTTTCCTTTTTTTTTTTTTGAGCTGGGGTCTCACTTTGTCGCCCAGGCTGAAGTGCAGTGGCGCAATCACAGTTCACTGCAGTCTTGACCTTCTGGGATCAGGAGTCCTTTTGCCTCAGCCTTCTGAGTCACTGGGACTATAGGCACGTGCCACCACACCCGGCTAGTTTTTTTCATTTTTTGTAGAGATGAGGTCTCCCTAAGTTGCCTTGGTTGGAGGAGAGAGAGAGAGAGAATGAGAGAGTGTGTGTGTGTGTGTGTGTATGGGTTTTTTTTGAGTAGAAGTCTCACTTTGTCGCCCAGGCTGGAGTGCAATGACATGCTTACGGCTACCACAGCCTTGACCTGCTGGGCTCAGGTGATCCTTCTGACTCAGCTTTCCAATTAGCTGAAACCACAGGTGCACGCCATCACACCCAGCTAACTTTTTGATTTAGTGTAGAGACAAGATCTCAACCAGTCGCCAAAGCTGGTTTCAAACCCCTGGACTCAGGCAATCCTCTTGCCTCTTCCCCCAAAGTGCTGGGGTTACAGGTGTGGGCCACTGCACCCAGCTCTGGAGTATATATTTACTGATGTCTGAAGATACTTCTTTTAAGGGCTTGCTGTTTCTTGACCTATGAATCTTGTCTCAGAAGCCTCATTTATTCTTGTCTCAAAAACACTCCACAGCAGCTCTGACTGCTGCAAACCAGGCTGGGTCATCTGCTGCCTTCCAAGTATGCACATCTATATGGTACTATTTTTTTTTTAAGTTTTATTTATTTATTTATTTATTTATTTAGGGACAAAGCCTTCCTACATTTGTTGCCCAGGCTGGCCTCAACCTCCTGACATCAAGTGATCCTCCTGCCTCAGCCTCCTAAGTAGCTGGGTATAGAATATAATTTAATCAGCCGGGCTCAGTGGCTCAGCCTGTAATCCCACGCTTTGGGAGGCTGAGGTTAGTGGATTTGCCTAAGCCTGCAGGTTCGAGACCCGCCTGGGCAACCTGACGAGACCTCATCTCTACAATTAATCAAAAATTAGCTGGACGTGGTAGCGCACGCCTGTAGTTCTGGCTACTCTGAAGGCCAAGGCGGAAGGATCGCCGAAGCCCAGCAGGTCGAGGCTGCGGTGGCCGGGAGCGGCCACTGCACTCCAGTCTGGGTAACAGAGTGAGACTCCAACTCAAAAAAAAAAAGAATATAATTTGACCCTTTGCACTCAGATGTCCCCTCTCAGGTGGAATTGTAAATACAACAAACCACCCAGATGTCCCCTCTCAGGGGACATAAAGAGATTGCTGGAGGCAGGGCTTGGTGGCTCAGCCTATAATCCCAGCACTTTGGGAGGCCGAGGTGATAGGATTGCCTGAGACTGCGGGTTCGAGATCAGCCTGGCGAGACCTTGTCTCTATAATTAATCAAAAATGAGCCGGGCATGGTAGTGCGCGCCTGTAGTTTCAGCTACTTGGAAGGAATGCTGGAGCCCAGCAGGTCAGCACTGGGGTGGCTGTGGACGATGCCTGCACTCCAGCCTGGACAATGAAGTAAGACTCCAACTAAAAAAAAAAAAAAAAAAAAAAAACGATTGCTGGTGTTTATACTTGACAAATATGCCAGTGCAAATTTTTCAAAATTGTTTGTTTCCTTGAAGTTTTCCATTCAAATTGCACAAAAATGCGAATAAAGAGATGGAATATATACTGAGATACATGTTAAAAATCAGCAGATGTCACATAGAAAAATAATATGTGAAATGCTTTCACAGTAGTGCACAGATTGGACAATAAATTACACATTACTAATGTGGGTGGAAGAAAACAAAATTGCATTGTCTGTTCAAAAGAAAAACACCAGGTGGAAGACGTCAAACAAATTACTATTACACAACATGTATCAATGAACCTGCAATGCATGTTGGTGACCGTTTCACATGTTACCACACGTTAGAAAAATGTAAGATATAAAATTTTGATTTTTTGCCATAAATAAGTTCCTCAATGTCCAAAATTCCATTATAAACTATCATTACAATAAAATAATTGGTTCCAATGCAACACTATTTATTTATTTATTAATCTGAGTTGGATTCTCACTCTGCCCAGGCCGGAGTGCAGTGGTATGCTCATGGCCGCAGCGGCCTCCACCTGTTGGGCTTAAACAATCCTTCCGCCTCAACTTTCCAAGTAGCTGGAGTTACAGGCGCACGCCACCATGCCCATCTAGTTTTTGTGATTTGCTGTAGAAACAAAGTCTCACCAAGTTGCCTAGGCTGCTCTCGAACCCCCAGGCTCAAGCAGTGCTCTCGCCTCAGTCTCCCAAAGTGCTGGGATTACAGACTGAGCCATTGCGTCTGGCCAATGCTACACTATTTAATATGAAGTATTTCGTTTTTCACTATTTCATAAGAAAGTATGGTCATAGCCAAGCGTGGTGACACGCGTCTGTGGTTCCAGCTACTTGGAAGGCTCAGGTGGAAGGATCAACCTAGCCCAGGAGGTCAAGGCTGCTCACCTTACTGACCAGCGATTTTGCTCTTCATTTGTAACTGGCTTATACTTCCCATCACTTTTTTTCCCATCCATTCATCTCAGACATTGTGCCAAACATTTTAATATTAGAAAAATGGTGATGTCCCAAGACAATGAGGCTGCAGATGTCTACTGCCTAATATTTGGTAGGGCTCATAAAAACGTCAGTGGAAAGAGTTAAGGCTGGCCTCGGTGGCTCAGCCTGTAATCCCAGCACCTTGGGAGGCTGAGGCAAGTGGATTGCCTGAGCCCGTGGGTTAGAGACCCACCCGGGCAACTTGGCGAGACCTCATCTCTACAATAAATCAAAAATTAGCTAGGCATGGTAGTGCGTACCTGTAATTCCAGCTACTTGGAAGGCTGAGGCGGAAGGATCACCAGAGCCCAGCAGGTCGAGGCTGCGGTGCCACTGCACTCCTGTCTGGACAACAGATTGAGAGTCCAACTCAAAAAAAAAAAGAAAGAAAGAGTCAGAAGTTTGACTCTGGCCAGGCTCGGTGGCACAACCTGTCATCCCAGTACTTTGGGAGGCTGAGGCAAGTGGACTGTCTGAGCCTGCAGGTTCAAGACCAGCCCAGGCAACCTGGCGAGACCTCGTCTCTACAATAAATAAATTTTAAAAAGTAGTCGGGCCTGGTAGCATGGGCCTGTAGTTCCAGCTATTTGGAGGGAAAAAAAAAAAGTCTAACAGTGCAGAAACCAACTGATAATGGAGGATCTGCAAACACCATGTTTATGTTTCATTTCATTTCATTCTAGGTCCTTGGAAGAAGGAATAGTATACAGTATATAGTACATAGTTCCACGATCTCCAACTGATCTTTCTGTATATGACACTCAAGAGTCAGAACTGTATTTCAAAGAAAGCAAGCGGGTTCTTGCAACTGACAGGCCGATCATGGAGACCCAGTCCAGAATTTTAGATGACATTCACCTTTTCACAAGCAAACCTAAGAGTCGCTGATGATAGCTGGGCTCGGTGACTCAGCCTGTAATCCCACGCCTTTGGGAGGCTGAGGTGAGTGGACTGCCTGAGCCCGCGGGTTCGAGACCCGCCTGGGCAGCGAGACCTCACCTCTACAATAAATAAAAAAATCAGCCAGGCGTGGTAGCACCTGCCTGTAATTCCGGCTGATCAGAAGGCTGAGGTGGAACGATCGCCGGAGCCCAGGAGGTGAGGCTGCGGTGGCTGGAAGTGGCCACTGCACTCCAGTCTGGGTGACCGAGTGAGACTCCAACTCAAAAAAAAAACAAAAAAAAGAACTTATACAGCAAAGCTCCCATCTACCAACACAAGTTGCAGTCTAAATTCACACTGTGAATTTTGTGATAGAAACATTAACAATGCAGTACAAAAATAGTCCTAGCGTCAACTCTGGTTTCTTGAATTCTTCTTGAGGAGGGTATAAAGAATATAGCATCAGGCCAGGCATGGTGGTTCACGCTGTGATCTCAGCACTTTGGGAGGCTGAGACGAGAGGATTGCCTGAGCCCAGGGATTCAAGACGAGCCTGAGTAAGTTGGTGAGACTTTGTCTCTACAATAAATCAAAAAATTAATAGGATGTGGTGGTGCACACCTATGGTTCCAGCTACTTGGAAGGCAAAGGCAGAAGGATTGCCTGAGTCCAGCAGGTCAAGGTCAAGGCTGTGGTAGGCTTGAGTGTGCCACTCCAGCCAGCCTGGGCAAGAGTGAGACTCCTGACTCCAAAAAAAAAAAAAAGAACACAGCATCTTTGAAGTCCTAAGGTATTGTCTCAATACTCCATTTGTTATGGAAAAATTGATACAGAAATAATCATTACCCTCTTTTAAGAGTTGAAAGAGAGAGAAGAAAAAAAAAAGACAGAGAAGTCATCGCTCTCCAGATCATACCAGATGATATGGTAATACCAAGCAGAAAAATACATGATTATACACATTTGCTACACACCAGAGCTCCTTACTCTAGTACATACCCTCTGTTCTTTGGTCCAGGTCCCTCATGAGTTGAAAGTTTCTCTGTAATTCAAAGGGGAGATTTTCAATACCTAGGGGAAGGAGAGAAACAGAATCACTGGACTGTGCACAAGTCTTATAGCTCCTCCTGAAGTGCCATTCAGGTTTCCCTCCTTTGAAACTCCGAATTTACCTGTGACAGGATTCACTGTTCCTTCTCCAAGAGGCCATGCTTCCCTTCCTCTCTGTGCACCAACTTTTCCACCTCTGCACAACTCTCTTCCCTCCCCCTCCTCAGTGACCTCCTGGACCATCAGCCCTCCCTTTCCTTCATTTTCAGTCTCTGTCCCCGAGTTCCTGGCTCTCAACTTAGAAATGCTCTCTTGGTTTCTAAGTTTCACTCACCACACACACACACACTTTCAATCTACTCTCGATATAGTAGACAGAATGTTCTTTTTTTTTTTGAGTTGGAGTCTCACTCTGTCACCCAGACTGGAGTGCAGTGGCTC